AATAAAAGAGAGTAATAACAAATATCTCTTAAAACAAATCAAAACATGAGTTTGAATATCCCCCATGTTTCATAGACCAGAGAAATGACTCACTACCTAGGAATAAGCAGATAAATAAGGATCTAACTCCTCCTCTAATCCTGGCAAGAAGCACCACTATCTCTGGTACCTGAGCGATATCGTATAAAACATCATTCTAACAGAAGGGTGAAAATTCATATCATTATGAAAATATATAATCATAAGCAATGTAAAACATACATACACCAATATGAATTCATCACTCTTCATAAAACTACGTATTAGGCATAACATAATCCAATATACCAATCCACATATACAACATAGCTCATCAATTCATATTCCAAATGAAATTTGATTCCAATTACCACAATTGTACAATTAAATCAATTATCACATGTTACACATCAAAACACCACCTTCACACTAATATTATATAATGAGTGATAATGCAACAATTCACATCGACACATGTGACTCCAATGCAACTCAAATGTATTATGCATATGGTATCAATGTTATCCTTATCGTTCCTGCAGAGTCCACATCTCCAAGATAGATAACCACCAATAAAAGACAGATTCAGCCTTAAGCTTTCAAACCCCATTCAACATTAGGTTTGAGACAAGTCAATAGTTCCCACGGAATTACCAAACCTTTCCTCTTGACACAAATGATGCATGTACACGTACAATCTCAACAACTCATCACATAATTTAACACATTTTGAATCATCTTCACAACATTGCACAACATACATCTTTCATATCAATCAATCACATATTCACAATCTCATAGTATAAATCATCTCAACACATCATTATAACATGTAGCAATTAGATACAAATCATGCAATATTCAAACATCATCTTATTCCAACACTTACATACACAATTCAAGTGTTAAGTTTCTCATCAAAATACTTCCAAAACCAATCCGAATCAAGTCATATAAATTATTAAAATACATGTAAATCCATGATAAATCATAACATACAAGATTCCAATCTCATTCATACATACAAATAATTTTTCACCTTGCAGCCACCCGCGCTAAGCATCCCATGCGAAAACCAGAAAAATTTCTACGAACAACATTCTATCCATACACGAAAATCCACATTGAAACATGTTCTAGTACCAATATTTCATCAAATAAACATATTCTAATATGTATACATCATAGAGAACCTATTTATATCATAAAAACTAGATTTCAAAAACCTAATTTCCAAATCCCTAAATCAATTTGGGTGATTCAAAACCTAGAAATTCACATACTCAAACCTATTACATGTTACTACCCATCATATACTCCCATAATGACATACATTCTCACCCGTATCTTGAGTGTAGAGTCTTTAGGGTTGCCTCTTCACTTTTCCTCTTTTCTCTTCTTTCTCATCTTCTCCTCTCTTCTCTTCTTTGTTTTTGTTTTATGACAACACTAACTCTAATCCCTCTTCTCACTACTCTATTTCATTAATGGGCCTAATTCCACTTACCCATTCTATTATGACATAAAGCACAATTTTAATTATTTTCTATTCTTACTCATAAATCCAATTATTCAAATAACACATATATTCAAATAATTCAAATATTCACCAAATCACACAATTAAATTAATTACTATATAATATACTAATTCATAAAATAATTAAATAATACTAAATAAAATCAGGATGTTACATTAGAGGCCTTGATGATAGTTCTTTTATTTTCTTGTTACTATATGTTGATGATATGTTAATCGTCATAAATTATTTACATGATATAAATGAATTGAAAATCATGTTGAAAAAGGAATTTGACACGAAAGACTTAGGTGTTGCTGAAAAGATTTATGGCATGTAAATTCACATGGGTAAGAGTGTTAGAAAATCATGACTCACTCATAAAAGTTATGTTGAAAAGGTGCTAAACAAGTTTAATATGAGTAATTTGAAGGCCGTGAATACTCTATTGGCGAATCAATTTAAGCTTTCATTGAATCAATATCTAAAGATATATGTAGAAGTTGAGTATATGTCAAAGGTTCCTTATGCCAATTGTGTTGGTTGTTTAATGTATGATACGTCTGCTCTAGACCAAATTTAACATATGATGTAAGTCAAGTTTGTAAGTTTAAGTTTAAACTGATAAAATATAATTGGGAAACAGTCAAATGGGTTTCCAGGTACTTTAATGGTATAACGGGTCCCGACATCATGTTTAGAAGTAAAAAAAGTGATTCTTTAGTAGTAGGATTTGTTGATTTAGACTATACTATAGATGATAGAATGTCTACAACAATATATACATTTACTCTAGCATGATGATTTATTTGTTAGAAATCACAAGTCCGATCAATAATTACTTGTCGATAAAAGAAGTAGAGTGCATTGCCGAAGGTTAAGCTGCCAAAAAGGCTTATGGCTTACAATATTGGTGAAAAAATTAAGTATTAAGCAAGATGGAGTTTAGTTGTATTGTGATAGTTAGAGTTCCATTTATTTGACAACCAATAAGGTGTATCATGCCAGAACCAATCATATTGATGCGAGGTTTCACAAGATCAAAGTGTTACTTGCATATGGACTAATATTACTTAAAATGTCCATATTTCAGATAATGCATCTGATATGTTGACAAAACCAGTAATTAGTGATAAGTTCAAGCATTGCTTGGACTTTTTACAAGTTTTTAAATGTTAAAGAAGATGTATACATCCATAATTGCCAAAATGTGATCGTCATGCAATAAATCTTCATAAGAGTTTGATATTTGCCAAAATAGAAATTGTTAATCATGACTCATATAGTTAGAACATAACGATTACAAAATCAACAAAATATCTGGGTGTGACTACAAAACAAAGAAGATATGATATTTATAAATGTTGAGTATGTCCTCACACACACACACAATCTTTGATATGGATTTCAAACTTAATTTTACGACACCTCCGATAATTTTTATTGCATATTCGTATAACAAAATTCACTGTTGGATTAAAAGATACTACCTTATAGATTATGTCTATACAATTTAACATCAATCGAAAATAATTTGATATATGTTAAAGAGATGGATCAAAATTAACCGTTTTGATGAAGTTTTGTAAAAACATTAATTTTTATGCATCTCATTCACAAGTCAAGTGGTTTTCTAATGATTTTAAATTGATAGACACAATCTATATGCTAGTAACTTTTAATCTAACGATTCATTTTATCATTACGGATATGCGGTAAAATATTATCGGATATATCATAATATAAAATTCAATACCTTGATGTCATTTTATCCTGACATGCACTAAAGAGAGGTAGAGGTAGAGACCCACCTTTCACCTTTGCGTTTGACCCAAACATATCTTAGACCCAACTATTTATTGTGATAATTGACTCGAGGTACATAAGCGGTAGCTTCCGTGGTACGTTTTCAAGGGTTTTAATTTTATTGTAAATTGAGTCGAAGTATTATATACTCTCTATGTTTTTTATTATAAGTCACTTTACAATTTTAATGAATAATTAATAATATTTTTTTATTATATTCTTAAATATTTATTATTCTCTTTACTTTTAATTATTTAAATTTATCTTTCACATTTCATTAATGAAGAATAATTTTATAAAAATCTTCATAATTTCTCATTTTTATACAACAATCATTATTTCTTTTAATGTATATGAGAAATTCAAAACAATTTATAATTACTCTATAACCGCATAGATAAACACTACTATTAACGAAAATGTATTAGAAAATCAACCACATTCATTTTCTTTTATTTTTTATTTTTTATTTTTCTTTAATCTTTAATTTGTTTTTCTTTAATCTTTTATAAGTAATTACTATTTTAATATTAACATTTTAAGTATCTTAAAACAAAAACAAGAAATAGACAAGAAACTGAAAGGAAAAGAAAAGGAAAGGAAAGACCAAAGTAGATGTTAAATGTCTGAATTCCACTCACCAAGAAAATTCTGAATTTTCTGTACCCTTATCACATTCCATTAAAAATAAATACTTTCCTAATTACAACAATGAAATAAAATAAAATAAAAAAATCAATAATAATAAAAAGAGATAAGAGAGAGTCCATATAATATAACACAACAAAACAAAAGTGTCGTTTTCATTTCATCATCCTCGTTAAAATATAAAACAATTTCCTATGAAAAAAATGTTAGTGTTGAGTGGATGAACAGTTTTGTGCAAATTCCGACACACAAAACCACAAAGTCTTCTCCTTTTCATTCCTTATTCTGACTCATCACTAGTGCCAACACTACTTGTACTCTCTCTCTCTCTCTCTCTCTCATGTTCTGGTATTTTTCTTCAACCTCCCTATCAACCCATAATTTATTTCTTCATTCTTTCCTTTTCTCAATTACAAAAAACCTAGCTTTATCTATTTTTCTATTTTTCTTCTCACACTTTTCTCCATTTTTCATGTGAGAATTCAATAAATTTTGAATTTTTAACTCTTATTGTTGATTTACTACTCATATTCTCATCTGGGTCTTCCTTGTTCTTCATGATTATGGATTATGCATTCTCTTTAATCTCAAATTATTGCTTCTGTCTTTACTATTATTTTCATTACCGTTCTTATATTTAATGAATAAAAAATTTCCAATTTAAAAAAATAATATTTTTTTACTCTTTACTTTGTCTTTTTCATATTTGTATCTTTCATATTTGTATCTTTCATATTCAAGTATTTAATTCCTTGTTTTGTTGGATATGGCTGTTTTTAGATCGTTCTTTGTTTATTGGAGTATATCATTTTTTTAACACTGTTATTGAGAAAAAAAACAAAAAGAAAAAAGTGAAGTTTAGATGATTCCACTTTCTATGACTTGAATCTTCTTCCTAATTGACTTGATATGTAGAATTGCAAAAGTTGTGTTTGGTTTTCTATTACATTTTTCTGGTATATAGAATTGCAACATAAGATGTTTTATTTGGTTTTATTCAGATACAGGAATGGGAACAAATCTCAGCATTCCCAGAACTGAAAAGTTCTCTGAAGATGGTGAAAATGACAATCTTAGATATGGATTATCATCTATGCAAGGTTGGCGTGCAACAATGGAAGATGCAGTGAGTAATCAATCAATATATTACTAGTTTATTGTGTGAATGGATTCTTTTAGCTTATTTTACAGCTGAGATTCTATGATTATTTTGAGGCTTCTGCACTGCATAGTTCTGGCAGAATTATAGAAACTATTAAACGGTGTCAAATTCTACGAGTAATGTGCAATGAAAGCTATGAGATTCCTTGAAAAATTTTAGAACTCCAAGGAATCACAAATTCAACAATTCTCATGTCTCAGAGAAAATGAGTTTTTTTTTTGTGTTGAATGAATTATGTTTAGTACTACCATTGAATATGCTTTTAACTTTGTATTTTGGAACTCCTTTTGTGGTACTTGTACATTGATATGTAGTTGATTTCTTTCATCCTTGTTTCTTTTGCTAGCACGCTGCTCATCTTGATGTGGATTCATCCACTTCGTTTTTTGGAGTTTATGATGGTCATGGAGGTAAATTTTTGATAAAGTTTGGTTTTTCGGAAGGTTAATCAAATTTTGCTTCTATATTACAGATTCACTCTATGCACGTTATTAATGTTAAAATAGTTTGTGTTACTTTTGTTGCAATCAACAATATGTTATATGTGCTCACTTAACACGAATGTTCAGGCAAGGCAGTTGCAAAGTTTTGTGCCAAGTATCTTCACCAACAGGTACTCAAGAGTGAAGAATACATAGCTGGAGATGTTGGAACATCTCTTCAGAAAGCATTTTTCAGGTTAGATAAAGAAAAGAGAGTCTGTTGTTTAATGATTAGTAAACGTGGTTTTCCTGTGATGTATTCAGCTATTAGTGACCAAAACTGTTTTTGTGCTTGTATGCAGAATGGACGAGATGATGCGTGGTCAAAGGGGGTGGAGGGAATTAGCAGTCTTGGGTGATAAGGTAAAAGGATTCAATGGAATGATTGAAGGATTGATTCGGTCTCCAAGAAGCAGTGATAATAATAAGGACCAAAATGATGATTGGGGATTTGAGAAGGTAGGAATAATGTGCGAGGAATACTTCAGTTTTCACTTTTCAGCATCACTTGATATACTTAGTTTCTTTTTATTGACATTCTGTAATTTTTTTTTTATATTGTAAGCAGGGGCCTCATTCTGATTTTGATGGACCAACTTCAGGAAGTACTGCCTGTGTCGCAATCATTAGAAACAACCTAATTTTTGTCGCAAATGCCGGCGATTCTCGCTGCATAATATCTAGGAATGGCCAGGTATCCTCAGAACGGAAATTATTGGAATTTTATCATTTTAAGGTTTGGCATGCATTTGCATGAACATTTATGTATGGATTTTTGTTCTATAGGCTTACAATTTGTCTAGAGACCACAAACCAGAACTTGCGATTGAGAAGGAAAGAATCTATAAAGCTGGAGGTTTTATTCACGCTGGACGAGTTAATGGGAGTTTAAATCTAGCAAGAGCTATAGGTACATAACATACCTACGGGCAAGTGAGCTTCCTTTATTCAGTTTTAACCTTAGTAAGTGACATTCCCCTCTGCGCCTCTCGTTAGGCAAATCCATTAATTTACCAACATAATAACCAATGTTTTAGTGCATTGAAAATGATAGGAATCTTATTTTGTATGCTTATTTTGGTTACTTAGGAGGCAAGAGGAGGTTTCATGCACTGCATGTTTTTTAATTTCAAGTTGGATAATTGATTATTTCAAGATATATAACTGTTTCTTCTTGACTATATAGTTTCTTTGTGAAGAAGATGCACTTATATATGTTTTAATATTCTGCAGGTGACGTGGACTTCAAGAATAATAGATTTCTTTCTGCTGAAAAACAAGTTGTCACCGCCAATCCAGACATAAACATTGTAAGTTTGCTCCATTGCAAATCAGATTACCCAATTTCTCAATAGGAAATATGGTAGAATCAGTAATGCAATGCTTAGTTAAGAGTAGTCAGTAGTTATGACTGATAGTTTTGGTTTTTTGACATTTTATTATAGGTTGACCTTCATGACGAAGATGAATTTATAGTGATAGCTTGTGATGGCATATGGTATGGCTCTTATGTTTATATTCCTGTTTAAAGCATGAGGGTGCTCGGCCACATATATACATCCGAAAATTCGAGAATCTTGACAATGTGTTATTCTTATGTTTCAGGGATTGCCTGTCAAGCCAGCAATTGGTAGATTTTGTACGTCAAGAACTTCTCTTGGTGAGTGTTCAAGTTATACATTATTTTCAATAAGATGGTTTGAGCATTCAATACTCAAAATATTGATGATTCAGTTCTAGTAAAGATAAGGTCATGTGGCTTTGTACTTTCACCTCAAAATGATCCAAGTTATCATTTCATAGTAGCTTGGCTGATTTGTGTAAGATGTTTAAACATGATACTACTTTTTTTTATCATACAGGATACCAAACTTTCCGAGGTTTGTGAAAGAGTCCTTGACCGGTGTTTGGCGCCATCTTTGGCTATGGGTGACGGATGCGATAACATGACAATGATCTTGGTACAGTTCAAAAAACCAGTGCAGACAAGCGCAGCAGCGCAAGAACAATCGTCTTCAAATGAACAAGGTGCATCTGAGCCATGATTTGAGACCAATTGAAGTTTGCAGTTTTCCTATTAACAACACTGCATGTATATTGTATAGTGCACACCTATGTTTAGAAAATGTGAGCAACACTCGCTCTAACATCCTCTTTTCTATATGAATTTTATGCGAGTGTTAGAAGAGATTGTTGCCATTGTTTTTCTCAAAAACTAAAATATTTGTGCTTGTTCAATAAGCTGTCGTTAATATTTGCAATAACAATATGCAGAGTTTTTGAGTTGTTTAAGATTTTGGACTAAATACAATATGAGCAATAACAATATGCAGAGATTTTGGACTAAATATTCATATCATTTACAGAAACAACAAAGAAATTTCATAATTTGAAAATTTAAATCTAAAACTTAACCAAGGGTCACAACTAAAGCCACAATGAATGCATAATCTATGTTGGGAGAGACAGTGACCATGAACTTTTCTGTGATAAACATAGTGCCAAGCTCCTTCTTAATCTGCAATAATAACACCAACAATTTTATATTGAGATAAGTACTCGCAGATTCAGGACTGAAAGCTTTGTAACAAATTTTGAACTCTGTGTAGTAATCTACGTATTTAAAGTCGATACATTATTTATGGAAAAGAAAAACTAAACCTTAGCAACAAGATTGTCAGAATTGCCGATGTAAACTTTCCAAGAATTTTGAAAAAAGTTTCCTCTGACAGTGAAGTCACAAACTTGTGTTGTATTATTTGCCAAAACCACGTTTAACTTTGTCCTTAGTTGCATAAACGAGGATCGCTCCCTAGTAAAGATAAGGTCCTGTGGCGCTTCACTTTCACCTCTATAAGCTTTCCATTTATCATCTGCAGCGAGCAGCTGCAAAAACAAAGCAGTGACTATCATAAAAAGTTGATGATTATATTGATCAAGTTATTGATAATTTGTATACCGATCTACGAAGATGGACAACGGGGTTTCTGTTAGCATCATACAAGAACCGGTGTTGGCGCGGTGTTACCATGGTTACAAGAGGACTTTTAACTTTGAAAATAACGTTGTTGTTGGTGTCTGTGACAGTGAAGTTGTCTCTCCCAGTCCACTCCTTTGTGATTATCAAATCAATTGGATGTGTAGCACAATATTGAGGGTTGATAATGGCGGTTGCAGAGAGTTGTGGTTGATTTGCCATGATGATCAAAGAAAGTGTTTCTTAATATTTGTTCAAGTTATAAATGTAGAATGAGATACTTGTCGAAGCTTATTTATATACCTAGAATATGCGTGATACTATGTGATATGAAATTGTCAAACATGTTGAGAACTTATCATTATTCAAAAGTCAAAAAGCCTAAAATGATTAGATTATGAATATCATCAACATAAATCAATCTAACATATAAGTGTAAAATATCAGCAATACATGACAATGCGTAATGCATCCTTATCATTATCTATTTTACCATTGAATCCAACTAATTTTGAATAGGTATGGATAGAGAACTCACCTTCCACCACATAGAAAAATATATCTAATTACTATTTAACTTAATCAATTTATTTATTTATTTATTTATGATTAACTCCTAATCATGACCAAATCCAACTAATTGGTTTTTGTTTAACTAATCGATTTATCATTCACCCTAATTGACTATTTAATTAACTTCATAGTTTATCTATTATTATAGTCTAATTAAATTTGTTATTATTCTGTTAATTAGTTAGAGATTAATAAGAGATTTATTATATATAGAATTAGTTAGAGTTTAATTTTTTGTTGATATAAGTTAGAGTTTAATTCTAACTCTCACTAATATTTCACTTGCTTACTAGGTGATTTAAGAGTGTTTTCACATTCTGGATCTTCATATGTGATTTAAATGGATGATGTACATGTGAGAGATAATCTGACAGTTGTAGCATCACTCGTGTGAATATAAGGTCGGGAAGTGAAGCAGTTGCGGAGTAAAGAGTTTGCCTTGGTGAAGGTACTATGAGGTGAACCAGTTAGTGGAAGTTTGACTTGGGAGCGTGAGGATTAGATGAGAGAGTCGTACCCGATTCTGTTTTCCTCAAGTAATTTTAAGGGATAGAAATTATTTAAGTGGGGGAGAGTTATAACACTCCAAAATTTAGAATTATTTATTTAATTAATTATTTGTGTGATGTATGATAATATGTGGCCGGACATTAATGAGAGATAGATGGTAATTAATTTTATTTAGATTTAATAATATAGATATTATTTAGAATTATAATAATAACTAAACATAAAATTAAGGTGAAAAGGGTAATAAGAGCGTAATAGTAAGTGTGTGTGAGTGAGTGAGGGTAGAAGAGGAAAACCATAGAAAGAGACTATTTTAATAGAGAAAATTAGAGAGAAAGGTCACTTTGTACGATTGTGAAATTTTAGAGAAACATGAAGTGAGAGCTAGGGCACAGAGAACCAAGTGGAGAATTTCGTAGAACTCGAAGGAAGAACCGATTTGTTAGGAATCTGAGGTAAGGGACCAATGTGTTGTCATTGGTAATGTGTTGTCATTGCGATTCTTCTAAAAAAAACTGCGATGACAACACATTACCAATGTAATTTTCTTCATCCAAAACATGTTTGACATCCAATTTGTCACGATTTAGACATTTTAACACATACCTAATATCTATTGATTAATCAAAACACCATAACATAATTACATATTAATTCCATAGATTCTCAATCAAAACCTAAGAAATTCAAACTATGAAAAATAGTGAAATCAATCCTAATACATGTTACTACCCATCATACATTATCAACAATCCCAATAACCAAATGAACACCCACCCTTACCTTGTTCTAGGTAGATTCCACAACTTTTACGTTCTTGTCATTTTCCTATTTCTCACTCTTCTCTTCTTTTCTCTTCTCTTTTGTTATTCCTCTTACTAACTCTATTTCTTTTCTTTTTATTAAACCCTCACAAAATACTAACTCTAGTAATCACTATTAGACTTACTAACACACACCCCACATTTATTCATCCCATTCTCACCAATTAGGCTCAATTACCAATTGTGCTATTATTTCTACAATTCTTACTTACTGAAATAATTATTTACTAACTGATACCAAAACTAATTTTAATTCTACGGTTCTCCATATTTAACTCGACTAACTTGCTACACACAACATACATCAAGTAATCATGTATTCACAAAATCAAAAAATAATAATTAATTAATCAAATATGTGCTAAATAGAAAATTAGGGTGTTACAATGGTCCGCTTGTGATAAGCCTCAATCCCATTGCGTGGATTGGATGAGAGTAGTTAGATCCATGTCAGGGGATTTAGAGAAGCGTTACCTATGATGACGGTAGGGATTCATATTGTGCTCCGATTGTAAAATATAATCAATCCTATGATGTAGATTGATAGAGGGTGATGAACCAAGTATTCATAAAATTTGATATCACATGCATTGAGTTAGTGTTGTTGCAATAACATCCTATGTGGTATTCACATGAGTTTTGTTGAAGCAATGTGATGTGATGATGTTTGAGACTTATGTGATTATATGATGATTTTATGACAAAAGATGTATAAGTGCTATTATGACGTGTATGTGTGAATTTGACTTGTTTATAAATGATATGTTTTGATATGATGACGATAGTACTAATCTTTTCCTTATATCTATTATAATGAATTGTGATTATTCACCATTTCTGTTTGAGTATTGCCTCCACATGGATAACACACAGATGTTCAGAAGTAGTTTGTAGGAGCGTTAGAATATTTTAAAATATTTAGTAGTTTTCTATTATGTAGAAGTATCTTGCTCTGATATGTAACATCGAGTCAGAAATATTTAATTGGATTTTATATTTTTTATATTGGCAAATTTTATAAGGATTATTGATGTTAACCTAATTTTAAATCCTTATTTTGATGAGAGCAAATATTACAAGTTGACAAATGAGAATATTATTTTAATGATAATTTTGTTAAATTGCTTTAAAAAGATGCGTTGATGTTACATAGTGTATATTATAAAAAGTTGTCATTACCATTGTTATTTGTGTAGGGAACATGATTATATTTTAAGATGTTCTATTTGATGATGTGACACTTTTGTATAGTAATTTTATTTGATTTATTTCATAAAATATATAAGAAATACATGTAGATTAAAAGAGTGTATAAAAGTTACCGGCAAAATCTAAAAAAACAGAATTCAAATTGAACCCTATCAATATGCTCTGATTTAAGATTCTAATCTCAAAATTATTAAGAAGATTCAACTCAATAATCCTACTAATCAAATTAAAAGGAATTAAAAGAAATTAAAAGGATCTCATTGATTTGATAATGAACAAATTTTAACAAACTCGTAATCAAAACTAAATTAAATAAAATATAACTTAACATAATTAATTCGTATATTATGTTTTTTTAATACTAATTCAAAAAAAATCTAAATATTATTATTATTATTATTATTATTATTATTATTATTATTATTATTATTATTATTATTATTATTATTATTATTATTATTATTATTATTATTTTAACAATAACAATAACATACTTTTGTGTAGAGATATCAACCCAATAATTTCAGTAAAACTCATTTAAACTAATTCAAAAAAATGGATTAAATCGAATTATTGAGTGAATAAGATTTTTAAAAATAAAAATCTATTTAAAATAATTAAATTATAGATAAATCCATATTTAATCTATAAAATCTATAAGTTATTGAGCGACTATTTTTTAAATTTTTTTTATAATATATTAAGTGATAACCTTAATATTATTAATATTGATGGCTTCAGTTTTAAGTTTTTAAACATTTTTTATTTTATAAGTATTGATTTTGATTTTAAATTATTCAAGATGTCGTACTTTGACTATTCTGATGCGATTCTAGTAAATTATAACTATTTTATACAAATTTAAATATTATTATAATATAACTATGGTTTTTACAAATATATTTATAATAAATTTTATCGTACATATATAGTAGTAACATGCACTACAAAAAAGAAGCTTAGTTGCCACGTGAAAATTATGTGGCAAACATCAAAATCACGTGGCAAGGCAAAATTAGCGACGTGGTGAGTTATGTCGCTGGGGAGTAAGTGGCAAGCAAGTAGCGACGTGATTCCCACGTCACAAAGTTGTGACGTGGTATTCACGTCGCTACATATTTGTTAATGACAGCTTTATTAGCGACGTGAGAATCATGTCACTAATTTGTGACATGATTCCCACGTCGCTACAGGGGACGTTTATATTTTTTAAAAAATTGTTAATAATTAATTTTTATATTAATTCATTAATGTAATAAAATTTAAATAATAAAATTTATATAATAAAATTTAAATAATAAAATTTATATAATAAAATTTATATATTAAAATTTATATAATAAATTTTATATAATAAAATTTATATATTAAAATTATTAGAATAATAGTATTTTATTTTATATTTCGAATAATAGAATTTTATAAAATAAATTCACATAATTAAATGTTATATAATTTATTAATTTAAAATGATAAAAATAAATATATCTTACATAAATGCAAATATAAAAACGAAATAAAAAAAATGTTTTCACGGGGCATCTTCACCCGGAAAATTATCAAGATCAAAGTCATCAAGTCCGTCATCATCCGGCTGTGTATGATCAGGAACATTTTGATTTCGACCGCCTTGCATAAACTGTCTCATCTGCTCCTCCATATCAGATTGCCGCTTCCGCATGATCTCTAACTGACGCTCCTGCTCTTGCCTCATTGTCGTCATTTGGGCCTCCATTTCGCGTCTCACTTCACTGGCCGCCAATTGTCGTACTGTTTCAAGTTGAACCTGAGTCAGATTGGGTTGACGTGACCCCCCTTCTCCATCTCTAAGTCTTTGAAACAGATTACGATCATCAACTCTCAAGCCGGCGGCCAAATTTCCTCCCGCAAAAAAGCAACCATTAGGCCCTTTTCCATTAACAACCTCATTCCAAATATAGAAATCAACATCCCCATTAAGCGGCTCCCCCTCTGCTGGCCTGTATTGCGGATTGTGTTCCAGAAAACGTGCTAGCAATGTCTGATAATCATCCTACACATACATTAAATAATACAATTAAAAAAAAATTGTTAAAAAAATTGATAATCATCCTCAAACAACGGCGTATTCATCTCGTTCAATAATTGATAAAATCTTTGCGCTTCCTCATTCGGCAACTCTTCCCCGTCAAAATCTTCAGGTTCATCATATGTCACGTTCACACCAAAAGCATCCTCAACCATGTCACCGATCAAATTAAAGTTCTCCTCATACTCCATAACCGGTCGACTACTTGAAGCATGCGTGTTGCTAGTCTCTGGTACATTAACCGGTAGTTCTTCACCATTATACGTCCAAACCCAATAATTTTCAATGAATCCCCTTCTATGCAGATGACGTGTTACTTCCTCTGGGTCACTAATTATTGGTCTACATTCACACTTAAGACAGGGACATCTAACCCCTCCTTCGCTTCGACAACAATCCTGAGCAAACGCCCACTTAATAAACCCATCAACTCCTACTATAAAATTGGGTTTAAGTCCACTTCTTCCTGGATATGTTCTATCGTACATCCAACTGCGATAATACCGATAATATTCCATACTGCACATTTATACAATCATTGTCTTTTTCATTAGAAATATTCTTAAACTATTTAATACTATTCTTAGAAATATAAATTTTGCTTTTTTATATATATACTAACATATAAATAAATATTCAAATGTAAAATATATAATTTTTTATTACATAACAATAATATCAAAAAACAATAATATAACATATTTACTTTTTATTATATATACAACAATAATATTAGAAAACAAATAATGTAAGATACATACTATTTATTATTATATATATAACAATAATATTAAAATAATAATATAATATATATATTCTTTTTTTAAATATGTTTTTTATAAATTGTTATTCTAATATATAATTTTTTTTCCATATCTTTAACATATAAATAAAAAAATAAAACTATTATAATAAATACAATTTACATCTATAAAAAACATGTTATTAAATATGTTATTAAATTTATGTTTTCTAAAATTTTTAAAAAAATATATTAAATATGTTATTAAAAAATATGCAAATTACATATACACATATACTACTAAAAAATATATAAATCACATATGCAAAAAATATGCAAATTACATATACAAATTACATATGCAAAAAATATATTAAATATGTTATTAAATATGTTTTTAAAAAATTTTTTATTATCAGTAATTTTATACTACTAACAGTATATACATATATTCCTAATTACCACAAAATACATATACAAATCTAATCTATATAATACATATAAAATCTAAAAAAAAATGCATAAATACCTCTATATAATTTCTTCAATAAATTTGCGTCTTCTAGTTCTTGGTGTTCTTCAAATTTCTCTACAAATAATAACGAACAATCGAACAAATACCATGTTAATTAAATACTTCATTCCAGTATAAAAACTAAAGAACAAACGAAATAAACATTTAACATCACATACATACCTTAGATTTCTTCAACAAATTGGAATGGAAGAAAATTAATTCGCAAAATTGGGTTTGAGTTTGTGAGAGTTGCTGTAAATCAAAATTGGAATGGAAGCAAGCAAAGGCGAAGAAGAAGAAGCACGCTACTGTAAATCAAAACGTTAACATATGTAACTTCTAGTAGCGACGTGACTGTCACGTCGCAACGTTGCCACGTGATAATCACGTCGCTACAATGCAATCATAAATACTTTTCTCTGTCCAACACTGCGCAGCGAAATTATGTTTCCCCCCAAAAATTTAGCGACGTGGCTATCACGTCGCTACAAAATTTCAAACTTCCCTCTCAAAAACGTTCACCAGTTTCCATTAAATGTCATTAAAATATATTAGCGACGTGGTTATCACGTCGCTACTACCCACGTGATAAGCACGTCGCTAATATATGTCGCTGGGGACATATATTTTTGTAGTGATGTTAAATTATTTATTAAAAGAAATATTACACATAATTAATAATTATATAAAGAAAAAAAATTGAATAATCTATTATTCAATCTAATATATTATATTATAGGTAGTTATTTTACCTCACCCAAACTAATATAGTTTTATCTAAATTTAATTCAAATCCACTCATGTATACCCTTACCCTTATTTTGTAAATGTTTTTGTGAATGTTATCTAAATTCAATTCAAATCCGCTAATGTATACTCTTACCTTTATTTTGTAAATGTTTCATCATGTATACCCTTAACTTTATTTTGTAAATGTTTTTGTGAATGTTTAGGATGTTGAGCTAAATACACATATCATTTTTTTTTATATATCCTATATATGAGAGAGTATATCCTTACATTTAAAAAAAACAAAAACAAAATTTGAAAATGTAAGTCTAAAAAACTTAGTCAAGGGTCACAACTAGAGCCACAATGAATGCATAATCCATGTTGGGAGACACATTGACCATGTACTTTTCCCTGCTAAAGATAGTGCCAAGCTTCTTCTTTATCTGTAACCATAGCAATTTAAGATTTAAGAAACAATTTATATTGATCATGTATTTCTATGTTGACATAGGTAGATTTATCCTAAACTAATTGTATATAGAAATATCAAACCTGAGCAACAAGATTGTCTGAATTTCCAATGTAAACTTTCCAAGAACTTTGAGATAAATTTGCTTTGACAGTGAAATCACAATCTTGTGTACTATTATTTGCCAAAAACACATTTAACTTAGTCCTTAGCTGAATCAATGATGATAGCTTCCTAGTAAAGATAAGATCCTTTGACTCTTCACTTTCACCTCTAAATGCTTTCCAAGTATCATTTGTTGCTGTCAGCTGCAAAAACAAAACAGTCAGTGATTGATTAAAGGCTAGAGAGATCGAGTTTTTGATCAAATAAGTAACGAACTAACCGATCTACGAAGATGAATAATAGGATTTCCGTTAGCATCACATAGGAACCGGTGTTCATGGGATGTTACGATGGTTACAAGAGAACTTTTGACTGTGAAAACAACGTTGTTGTTGGTGTCTGTGATAGTGAAGCTATCTCTCAAAGTTCTCTCCTTTGTGATTATCAAATCAACCGGATGTGTAGCTGTAACAAACAAATAATCTTGGTAAGATTATTAACACAAGGAGTTTGATAAAAGTCCCAAGATCATATGGTTGATACCTGGAGCACAGTATTGAGGGCTGATAATGGCGGTTGCAGAGAGTTGTGGTTGATTTTCCATGGTGATCGAAGAATGTTGAAGTTGTAAATGTAGAATGTGGTACTTATCCTATAGTTTGATCCAAAGGTTATTTATATACCTAAACTATGGCGGTTGAAGAGAGTCGTGGTTGATTTTCTATGATCATTCAAGAATACCAAAATGCGTTTTAGAGATGTGTCTATTATTAACTAACTAGTTGTGTCTTATACGGATTTTATAAAGTAGACATTTATATATTTTTTTAATAATTAAAAAAATAGTTTTGATAATGATTCAGAGAATGAATAAATTTTAAAATATTATAATGTAATTGTATTTAGTATTAATTTATAAATATATAAAATAAAATATATTTTTTTAAATGTGAGAGTTTGTAAGAATTTAGAGTGTAAATTTGATAAGTATTTTAAAATAATTAATATAATATTTGTGAATTATAAAATATTTAATAAATTAGATTTGACTCTAATATTACATAGAGATTAATCGTTATACACTGTCAATACAAATTTCTTTATACAGTATTTTATCATTAGAATGAAAGTCAAATATTATTAAAAATTTAATAGTTATGATTTGTAGGGGTAATTTCGAGGAAGGAGCATTTTACTTGGGGCACACCTTTGTGAGAGACACACCACTTGTCCATCTAAAATCTTAAGGTGATAGATGAGTGGGTTCTCTCATATATAAGTGCTCAATCTTCCCTTTTATAATCAATGTGGGACTTCTTCCTCACACTTGATTCTCAACACTCCCCCTCAAGTGTGAGTCACAATGCTCCCCCTCATGTGGAATGACTCTCTTCCACATACACTTGTACCATCGCTCAATACAAGTAAGTCGATCCCTATCTCGAAACCAAAGGCTCATGATACCACTGTAGGGGCAATTTCGAGGAAGGAGCATTTTATTTGGGACACACCTTTGTGAGAGACACACCACTTGTCCATCTAAAACCTTAAGTGAGAACACCCACTCATGTTAAATTGTAATTCATATGTGTCAAAATTAGATTTAATTTTGTTTTAGATTTAAATAGATTTGAATTTAAGTCTAGAATAGATTTGATTAGATTTGATTTAGTAAAAAGATATTTTGGGCTTGGGTTTTAGCTTAGGGAGCAAGCTAACCTAAATCTATAAATAGAGGGAGTAACCCCTATTTTGTAATCAAGTCATTCACAGTATTTTGCAGTTGCAAAGTGAATAATAAAATTTCCACAGTTTGTGGGCAGAGAGAAACTCTGCAGAAATATCTCTATTGTCTTTTCTTTGTTTGTCTCATAACTAATCATCAGTGATGGTCGAAATTCATCATAGAGTATTGATGGATTTCCAACATCTGGTATCAAGAGCTTGTGTTTCGATTCAAGGGAAGTGTCAATCAAGAACGATTGAAGAATTCACGATGACAAGTTATGGGAATGCAAACTATCCAGCAACGCTGCCAATTCTGAAAGTTGACAACTATGAGAATTGATGCAAACAGATGAAAGTCCTATTAAGGTGTCAAGGCCTTTGGGACCTTGTAAAAGATGGAGTCGAAGCGCTTGGCGAAAACGCTTCAGAAGAAGAAAAGAAGAAATATACAGAATCTGAGAAGCATAGTTATAAAGCATTATTTATAATTCATCAATGTGTCAGCCCAGACAATTTCGAAAAGATTAGTGATTCAAAATCTGCAAAAGAAGCTTGGGAGATCCTTGAGAAGTCTTTTGGAGGCGCTGAGAAGGTGAAAGAAGTGAGGTTACAAACTCACAAAAGGACCTATGAACTGCTTCAAATGGAAGACAGTGAAAACATATCTGATTTCTTCACTAGAGTTACAAAACTAGTAAATCAAATCAAGATATGTGGAGAAGCGTTAACAACAAGAGTTGTTGTGTCGAAGATCTTAAGATCTTTAGCTCCTAAGTTCGACCACATAGTGGTGGCGGTAGAAGAAGGAAAAGACTTGTCGAAATTGAAAAAGGAAGAGCTTCAAGGGACACTCGAATCTCATGAACAAAGAATGAACGAAAGAGCTGCAAGAAAATCGAAGAGTGATGTGGCCTTGCATGCACATGCAGCAAAAGAGACCAAAGGAAAAGGAAAGTGTTTCGACAGAGGTAGAGGTGGCTACAACAAATCGAATGGTAGAAGAAACCAAATCGAAGGAGACGTGTCGAATCAAAGAAGACCATACCAAGGCAACCAAAGAGGTGGTGTTGCAAATAGAGGAAGAGGTGGTGGTTGAAAACCTGATAAGAGTCACATTCAATGTTACAATTGTCAGAAGTATGCTCACTATTCGAGTGATTGTCCAGAAAAACGAAAGAATCAAGAAAGTGATGCAAAGCTTGCAAAACATGAAGAAGAAGAAGAGATGACGCTGATGGTCACAACAAAAGATGAAGATAGATTCAAGGACCAATGGTACTTGGATTCAGGATGTTCATCACATATGTCTGGAAGGAAAGACTGGTTCGTCAATATAAAACCCTCAACGAAAAATATGGTAAAATTTGCAAATGACAATACCCTAGCAGCTGAAGGTATTGGTGATGTTATGATCATGAGGAAAGATGGAAAAAAGTCAGTAATTTCAAATGTATTGTACATACCAGGCATGAAGAGCAATTTGCTCAGTATAGGGCAGTTGGTCGAAAAGAATTATAAAGTGTCAATCGAAGATAAGTTGATGAGAGTCGTTGATGCAAATGGGAGATTAATCTTGAAGGCTCCTATGTCTAAGAATCGAACCTTCAAGATTGAACTAAATGTGATGGAGCACAAGTGCCTTTCGACTGCAGCTAGCAGAGATGAATGGATATGGCACTATAGACTAGGTCATCTCAACTTCAGAGACATCAGAGATTTGAAGAGAAGAAATATGGTTTCAGGATTGCCTGAAATTGACATTCCAAACGAAGTATGTGAAGAATGTGTGCAGGCGAAGCAACACAAGAATAGCTTCAGCAAGGATGCAAGAAGCAGATCGAAGGCTAGTCTTGAAGTCATATACTCTGATGTATGTGGACCAATCCAGGTGGATTCGATGGGAGGTAATAAATACTTTGTTACATTCATAGATGATTTCAGTCGAAAGTTATGGACTTACCTGATCAAAAAGAAAAGTGAAGTGATCAAAGTATTTACCAGGTTTAATTCTATGGTCGAAAGACAAAGTGGTCGAAAGCTCAAAGTTTTGAGAACTGATGGTGGAGGAGAATATGTGTCGAAAGACTTCGACAGATTATATGAAAAGGAAGGGATTGTGCATGAGGTGGTGCCACCCTATTGTTTCCAGTGATTTCTGGTAAACAACCGCTAGTCTTCCAAACTATCGAATAATCTTTATTAACGCTACTCAATCTCTTTGGTAACTCACAGGATCGACTAGATTGATCCTAGGACTCCTTGGATATCAAGGTTACTCTCACAATCGAACAATTATTCATGGGTGCTATTGTATTAATGTTTGGTTTGTTTCGATCTCTCTCTCTAAGAGTTTAAGAATGTGGTCAAAATGTATGTGAAACTAAGTTATACGAATGATTGTTAATTGTAATGCTGATTGAAAAGACATATAAAACTGTATGGAAAATGAAGTAACTGGTTTCGATCCATAAAACATTTAACACAAAAGGTTTCTGGAATGTAGAAGTTTAAAACATGAAGAAAGCGTTTAATGCAAGAAATCTAGAAAGGAGTTTAAGTGAAAGTACATGTTTGAAGAATAATACTTGAAAGTAAAGACATTGAAAGTGTAAAAGTTCTCTGAAACATAAAGTGCTTCGAAATATAAAGAAAGCAGTAAAATGTAAGACTTTGAAGAAAGGACTTTGGAATGAAAAGACAGTAGATAAAGAAACTTGTAAATGTTGTTCGACAGAAAGAAAAAAGAAGGAAAGTGCTGGAAATAGTAAAAAAGGCTTTCATTAAATTAGAAATACATGGTGCTATCATACATACATCTCTCTTGCATTCGTTTCCCTTGCCATGTGGTAGTTTGAATGTTATTGAGTATTTTGTATAACAGATATGACACACTGAAATCCTAACACTAAGACTTCTATTTATACTAATTCGACCCTAACGGTCTCGCTACAAGATCATGCCACGTTTCGAACATGCAAGACAATGCTCCTTTCATCTTTCCACGTGTCCTCAAATGCTCCAACGCATAACTTTTAAACTTTGAAAGTCCCGCTTTCATTTAAATTTCAAATGCTTTGGTGTTTCTCTGCTTCGAACGCTCTTCTCAGACTTAGCTTCGCTGCTGTTTCGAGACCCCTTTGGATACGCTTCCAAGATCACCGTTCGAAGCTTCAAGCTTTGACACACTCATTCGAAACACTGCTTCTGCAATTTCGAAGCGTGGTGTTTTAATTCCATTTCGATCAGAACTTCTAGCTCTTTTGTATTCTAAATAACATTATCAAAATCTTCAGCCAACAAATTGCCCCTTTAAAATATGTATTTCGATCTCTCTGAGAAATACCTATTTTAAATATTCACACAAGATTTTGATAGGATCTTCGAATCATCATAGCATTAAATGCGTTTGACCCTAGTCACATCAATCATAGCACCCTTTGGGTACCTTAACCGCCCAAAGTCACTTCACAGCATGGTGCAGTTATAAGAAATGATTGTTTTTAAAATCACGCCTATTACCTATATCAACTTCTCGCCACCTCTTCATCACACCAATCCATGATCTCCACGTATCATATTTTCACTCGGTGGATGTTTCATCTTCTTATTATAAAACGTCAATTTAACCTTCCTTTTTCCTTCTTTGCACTCTAAACCTTTCAAACTCTGGAATTTTACTCTTCTTCTCTCATAAACACTCTAAGCTCTCAAACAACAAAAATGTCTTCTTCCACATCATCTCAACTCAAGAAAGTCTCCAAGAAGAAGGGAAAAACTACAGGAGCAACTATGGAGAGTAAAATCGTCACCATTCAAGGCCAATCTGCTCTTGCTCCTCAAATGATCTCCAAAGAAAAGGAAATGCTGTACGCATCA